ACATTCACTGAGTGAATATTATGACAAACACATAAACTTCCTATGACACAGCTGGATGTGTCAGCCTGTCAGTTAAGATTTTTTTTTATAATGCTGTATTGTTTACCATGTTGAGCAATACTTTACCAACCAAAACTTTATTATTCTAACTAATGCGTGTGTAACAGTGATGATGCTGTACTGTAGACCATCAAATTGATCATCTAAGTAATTACAGATGCCTCAATATAGTCTGTGACAAATTGCCTTTTTTACAGTGCACTTTTTCTTTAACACTAGAAACAACATTATCATCTTGCATTTTGGTTTTTGTCCAAACTCCAAATTTTTCTACAAGATTACATTAAGGACAAATGTGCTCAGAACATAATGTTACAGTGCCAAGTATGGCATCACTCTAACTACATTTTATACCTGCGCTAATCACAGTCCTCTCATGCACCTCAGATTTTATTGTCCTTTCTGTAACGTGTGGAAGCTATTCAACTGAAATCTTAGACAAACCTTAAAGAGAGTGAGAGAGAGATTGTCACGCAACAAGCAGTGTCAAACACTAGCTGCATCCAGGTTGTTACAGAATATAAAGCACAGGTGAACTTTATTTCAATATATTATCAAAGGGCCAATGAAAAATAAGTTTCACTGTGTATGAATGTAACCCCATATTTTCTTTCAACTCTGCATTTACATATTGCAGTTAACCAGGAGAGGCTTTATTGTTGTATGTCACCTGCCTGCTTATTGTCGCAGAGGGCGTAAATTCTACATCCACCTGTTTTGTACATTAGTGTAAACCGAAATGACAAGTACAGACATGATGGGAGATTAAGGTGAAAGCTCCAGGCTACCAAGTTCCTGGTAAATGAGGGGAGGGTGGGTATTCCTAAAGTTGCACGTAGGAACCTGTAGAAATCTTCATACCAATCTCAGATTATACCAATTTTCAGGGATAGTAATGCTTTTTAAACTACATATTTTAAAACAATCGGCACATGGTGCAATCACCTTAAACTCAATATGAGCGACACCAAAGAAATGGTGGTGGACTGCCAGGGAAATAGGTGGTCCCCTGTCCAAGTTATCATCCAGGGAGAGGAAGAGGTTTTACTCATACACCTTGGAGTCCAAATCAATGAAAAAATAATAAATAACTGGACTGGACTCACAACACTGACACCCTATTCAGGAAGGAACAGGGCAAACTGACTCAGATCCTTCAGTGTGTGCAACAGGCCCCTGCAGATCTTTTTTTCTGGTCTGTAGTAGCTAGAGCAACATTCTTTGGTGCAGGATACCGAGGTGGTGGCATCAAGGCAGGTGAGGCCAGCAAACACAAAGCTAGTATAGAAGACGACCTCTGAAACTACAACTACACACTGAAATGAATGATTAACACAGTTCACTGCAGGTGAAGTCCTACAAGCAGTGCAAGAAAAATCTCCAGTTCATCGGTTAAAAACTCTTTTTTTTAATCTCTTAAGCATTGTGGTTTAAAATAACTGCCTAGGTAGTAGACGTTCTGGTTTTTTTAACCACTTTCAGCATTTAAAGATAAATCAGAGCTGGCTTAATAATGTTCAATTGAACAGTGAGCTACTTATCCCGTAATAACAGCACGAGGCATGGCAAAAGAAGCCCATCAGTCCATCTGCAGTCATGTCAGGTCTTGATATGACTGACTAATGCACAAATGGCTGTTATCTGATTGCAGCGTCATGCATTCTGTGTTACTGTAATATATAATGTCCTTGCAAAATCAGATTCCTGACAATATATTTATGGCAATTTTTTTGTGATTTATCATTGGTGCAAATGTACCTTTTTTAATCTCTTAAGCCTTGTGGTTTAATAACTGAGTAGGTAAATAATGGTTCTGGTTTTTCAACCACTTTCAGACCTGCCAGGCAACGGTTAATACTGTTTTAGAACTTTATACATTGCTCATTTGTGCCGTTAGTGTTCAATAGACAATGAGTCACCTCACTAACTACTAGATAACTGTAAAATAATTCCACCTTTTGGGATCAATCTTATCATCTTATCTTGTCTAAATTTCATCCACTGATGGATGGACGAATAAGCAGTCAAGCAAAAGAATGAAATATAAATCAAAAGAGTAGGTATGCATTTATTAGACATCATACAGCTTCAACAAAACAAACATGTGGTTGGTCTTTAACAGCAACATTATTAACACATAATATTGTTAGGATAATTTGTTCATGTTTCCAGTAGACATGTTTCCATTGTTCTGTTTGACAAAACAAAACAAAGCTATCACTGTACCTTCTCAGGTGAAAATGTCAAATGCTAAAATGTAATATAGCTGGTGAATCTGGTGTGTGTACATCTGTTGTCTAAAATGACCATTTCTCAGTCCTTGCTTCCACTGATTTGACCAGGTCCTTTCCCATGACCCGGAAGTCTTCCAGTATTGCTTCAACATTGGGAAAGGTATTTGCTTCCTCTCCAGTCACCTCGACCCTCCGAGCAGACACCTGTGACGTCTGTGATGTGTGATGAAGGAACATTAGGTCAGAGTGGTGGATGTTGACATGTGAGTGAAATGAGGAAGATGACATTTGTGTTGTTTGTTTGACACATGAGTGACTTACCTTAAAGGGCACTGGGATGAAGGCCTTCGGCTTCCATAAAACTGCGATCACTGTTCCACCATAGGGATCACAGAAGAAGAGAGCTAGGTCTCCAAAAGCCTCCTGAAAATAAATTAGGTAGAAGTTCAGGACACAAGATGACAAAATCCGTTTGTTGCTGTACTCTAGCCCAAAACTAAACCATATTAAATATGGCAATCTGGCATCTGTGAAATTACTGTCAAAGCAAAACTAATCTGAAAACCGTATCAGTCAGTTATTTAAGTTTACTTCCCCAACAAAACAATTGTTTTATAAGCTTAGTCTATTAATTAGCTCTTGGATTGACGGCTTTGATCAATCATTAATGGCTAGGTGCATACTTGTTCATACGCTGAACAAAATAGACATGTATCAGCTGCATAATGTAACCCTTGTCCTATCATTGCATTAGTGGGAGAGAGAGAATGAACAGGAAAATACAAACAGAAAGAAAGATGGAGAGAAAGGTACTATACTTTGGCCAATATTGCTTAATAACAAGTCAAAATCCTGGCTGAGGAATATCTTTGAACATATGAGTAATATGCACAAGAGTGTATGGAGAAGGGGAAGAACATAAACAATATGCTGTAAAGTTAGATCCTCAGAAGTTCAGAGAAATATGAACATTGTTCCTACGAAGTCTAAATTCATAGAAATCAAGCATGGAACAATGCAAGTTCAAGTTTTTTCACTGGCTATTTATCTTCTCCGTGATTAACTGTAATCCCACGTAGCTGGAAAAGCACTTCTGGGAGCTGCAACTTGCATGTGTAAATCCTGCTACACAGCTTTTCCCATCCTGTGGTAACACGACATTATTAAGACCACACCTTCCTTTTAACATCCCCAACAGAAAAGACTCACTTGGAGCTCTGCCAGGTAGAGAGACACGGGGTTGTAGTCGATGACAGGCATGGCCCCTCCAGAAAGGGCCACACCACTACTCATGACGCCCCTGCTGAAGGTGACAGCGGGAGGGTCCACTGCCTGGCTGAGCAAAGGAACCTGCTTGGGGTTCAGATGGATCAACACATCATAGGCATCTAGAGGAGGGCGCATGACCACCTGCACAAACACAGATGGGTGCATTACATGGTTGAAATATTACAGCATAGTTAATTCAGATAGTGGATCATTTATTAAGACAATGGAGTGGTGAGTAATTGAGAACTTGAGTGCTTTTTTTTTTTTTTTTTATACCAACCCTGACATCCTGTATCTGGCTGCCGTCCATCAGCTGATGTTCCAGTACCTTAAGACTCTCTGCAGCCAACATCACCACACGCTGCAGCATCTGAACGCACACAACCAAAATATAACATCTGATGGTTAAACAGGTTAGCTTCGGACATACTGAAGCACCTCAGCAGAAACTATCCTGATATGTCATATCATTTATATACCACTGCTCTGGTTGTAGTGCTGGAAAATAACCAATTTCCAAGAACACATCAAATGTGAAGGCGACAACTACACACACACACAAAGGGAATCTAGGGAATATCCAGCAATTCTTGGAAGAGTATTACAAGGAACCGCCTTCTATAGTTGTTTTAACTGACATGACTTGATGAAGTAACTCAACATACTGGCTTATACACTTATTTGGGATCTCCTCCTCCCTATGACATTCAATAACAACAACTATAAAGCATGGTAACTGCCTATGGGTGAGGAACTATATGAAATTCCAACATATTATGATCCCATTTGTACTATTATATGCTAATTATAAGTCTTTTGGCCTCTTAGGCATTTGTTAAATGTTAAAAGTGACTTTCCTCTTACTAAAATTCTTCTGAAACCCATTTATTTCAGTTATTTGACCTGATGGTGGATACTCCAGATTATAACACGTTTATTCATCAAAAAAAAAATGTATGTATGTATAAATCATGTTATGTGCAAAGATAATTATTGTAATTAACATTTCTACGGTCATGGCTGTGTAGGAATTTTCTGCATCTTGTGTATTCAGAGAAACTCAAAAGTTTATTCGGTTAAGTGAATAATTCCATCACAATCTGCTCCCTAGTGGTCATTCAGAGGCACTGAGACAACTACACATGCACTGAACCAGGATAATTAACTCAACTCAGCTATTTGTTTTAAAACACATTTTCATGTGTTCTGGAAGTCTGAAGAAGGGCGTGTGAATTCAACAAGAAACTGATATATACAACCCAAGCAACCAGATAACCAGGTAAAATGGAAATCAGCTTAAACACGGTGAATTAACCCTGCAATGACGTCTCTGTTAGGACGTCACAGAACACACAGTTCCTGCTCTCCGCCACTGTTATAAAGCAGGATGCTGGGAGAGGCTCAGTGTTAATGTTGGACTTGTAAGAGTGAGGTGGGCAAACACAGGAAGCTTATCTGGGTCAGCTACGCACCATGGGAAGCTGCTGTGTGTACCTTTTCTGTACACTACTGTGTGCCACTGGACTCTTTTACAGCTACGGTCACATCCAAACAGAGGAGTATAATACTAAACATTTACCTTACTTCACTACGACAGAGGACAGCAATGAAAAGCAACTGGTGAGCTACAGCTGATGGTCTCCCAAAAACATTAGTAGTGCTTTCAGGAAGATTTGAAGGTTGTGGACATAATGTTAACATTCTTGTCAGATATTCTCTCTAAATTCTTTAGAATATTGTTTATTATTTAATATTCTGATGGTATTTTAATGTTTATAATTAAGTGATATGTGACGATTTGGATTTGCAGATCAATGATTTACATCAAGTTTTGGAGAGACTTCAGAACAATCAATTTCCAGCTCTAAGAAAAAAGCATGGCTATGTGCCTGTGGTATGTAACGCAATAACTCATTTCATCTGGAATTATGTCAACTTCTCAAATGACTCTGTCATACCAATATATTCATTATCTTTGCATAATTAGAGACATTTACTGTTCATAAGTCTTAGTTTAATTTTGGTTAGTTTGGTTATTATGGTTTCATATTTTTTCAGTGTGATCCAGGAGACGTGTGTGCTCTCAGAAAAGGATCCAGGATCGGGAAACTATGCGACTGCTCTCCGCCGAGAACATGCAACTCTTTTCTGCACCGTTGTTTGTGATACTCTGTCTGTTTTTGTCTTTTTACCTGATTACTGACCAAATGTAATATTTTATTATTTAATCCATTATTGAATGCTATTAAATGTGTTGTCGTGTAAGTTGCATACTGTGTGTGTTCCACTGACCTGTACACTCGGTGCTCTTTTGGTCCACATAGATAGTTTTTTGTCTTTAGGCGTAGCTATAAACATGACAGGCAGAGACTCCCTGGAGGCCATGAAGTCATTCTTGATCTCTGTGTAGTCGGCAGCTACACGTGAGAGATAGAGAGAGAGAGAGAGTTGAACAACAATTAAACTTGGCGTTGAAACAGCAATGCATGTGAGCAGGATGTTGTAGTGTGTCTGGGGTATATAAAGAAAGAGGTCAGAGGGGATTTGTTTGTGTGACATAGAAGGAAAAGGGGGGTGTGTGTGAGAGAGAGAGCTTGCCTGTGAGCTGGTTGTTAAGGTTGACTACCAGCGGGTTATTCCTCCAGTCAAAGGAGGAAAGCAGATGAAGGAAACGAAGGAAGCCGACCTGAGGAGAACTGAGGAAAACGAGAAAATTCACTCACATGACCTACTGAACGAACAAAGGGATGTGAAAAGTACACATCCACAAATGAGGCTGAGGAGGTGGACAGATTTTAAAGAGATTAAAAAAGGCAGTAGTTACCCGGGAGGAGTAAAGGGTGCAGGCTGCAGGAAAAGCGACGCCACCAGCAGGTCTGCCGTGTCCTCTGTGATGTCGTCACTGAAGAGCTGAGCCCCAAGCCAGCGTTTGGCCAGACGACACACTGCCCCAAAACATGGGTGCTGCTGCTGGAGCCTGCCAACAACAAGTTGAGACATATAAGTTGGAGCAAAAAAGTAAGGAATTGGTGTATGAAGGACAAGCAAAATATTTACAAAACAAGAAAGAGACAAAGGAAGAAAAAATTGACAAAAGTTGAAGAAAGTGAAGGCATATAACCAAAACTAACTGTTAATGTGTATGACAGCAATGTGTAGGGTTGGAAAAGACTGGGGGAACTAATAGGAACCCTACAACCCTGATTTCTCACACAACACACACATACTACTTTGTGTTACTGTTTTAATTTTACCCGTGCAATGTGCTGGTAAGTAGAGGCTTGTGAATGGTTTCCATCTCTAGAGCCTGAGCCTCCTCGTTGTCCCTTACAACCAGCAGCCCCTCGGCATTCACGCTCTCCCTCAGCACCTGAGGCTCACGATGGTATGCCACCTGGATGCGGAACACCAAGCCATCCTGGATACATAAACAGAGGGAAATATGACAGCATAAATAAAAGACTGAACTCTCATTTAAAAAAAAAAAAAATAGCCTGGCCTGTATGAGGCATGTGCATCCACTCAAAAATATACCTTCCAGACATCCAGGTGTGTGGGGCAGGGCCTGCACGTATAATTATGATGTTTCTTGAGTAACTCTCCCAGACGGATGTTGAAGGCAGCCCGGATATGGCGGATGGCGAGGCGGTCGTGAGGCCACTTTCCACTCCCCTCCATGTGACAGATCACTGCAAGAACATGGTTAACAGTACACTGGTGAATGAGTTTGTTTAGTTAAATGTCTGTGGTTAAGTGGCTGTACCTGAAATGACAGTGAACAAATGTGTAGCCGCTCAAGAAAAAGATAAATCAAATGCAGTTACGTTTCAGTGATAAAGTTTTTTCTACGGTAGACTAGTCTAGATGTAGTTTTCAGCAGATTAAACGAGAGTTAACTAACCTGTGATAGGTGTGATATAAGCAGGGCAGGGTTTGCTTTCCTTTGGCACCAATGATCTGGAAGCCTTTTCTCTGTCAAAGAAGGAATAGTCCAGCTTCAGTGGCACAGGGGGAAAGACCTGCAAGAAACCACAATTTAAAATCAACAATAACCACAGCTATAAATAACTTACATAAGCTCATTAAACTGGAATTGCTTTGTGGTGGTGTCTTATATTTTACTACTACCACCACTGCATTAATGAGAGCAGTCCCCCGTTGAGAACAAGAGGCTTTACCTGTGTGTATCTGAGTGCAGGGTGGGCTCCTTGTACTGCTGTGATGGAGAGAGGCAGACCTTCCAGCCTCCACAGTTTTCTACTCAGGTCATCATAGGACTGAACTACCAGTAAACTCTCCTCCTCTCCAGTACTAGGCACCTGAAGAGCATAATAGACATCAAACACATTCCATACATACACATTATTAGATAGTATATTTATTTAGTGATGAAACAGCAACACTAACACCCAATTTTGGTGGTTTACACCAGTGGTTCTCAACCTGGGGTCCAGAGAAAGGGGTTAAGGGGTTCCAGGGGTCCACAGAAAAATGGGAAATATTTTAATTTTACTGACTAGAGGTTAGCCCAGTGAGAGACTGTCCATATGTTTCACACTCCTCACTGTTAATCTGCCAATCTGCAGTACAGACAGGGATTCCTGAGACTACATTTTATCAAATACAGGTCTGCTGCCTGATGTGTATCAATTTGGGGATCCTTGACACCAAAAAGATTGAGAACCAACTGGGGAAGCATTGTTTTAATTAATTTTGGCAATAAAGAACAAAATCTAAATGTTTCAATGGAATTAATTAAGGATCTCTACCAACAAGAACACAAAAAAATTACCAGATAAATATAATAGTATTTTATAAAATTATAAAATAAAATAAAAATCAGTAAGAAAATGTTTAATAACATGTAAATGGTTAAACAAAAGGGCTTTACATGCAGCACATAACACATAAATTATATTCCATTTTTTTTTCAATTAATCTAATGGAATTTTATATTGAATTTGGATGTCTATTAAAAAAAAAAACCCCAAAAACCCCAAAAAAATTAAATCGTAACGCGTTACCTCATTTCCCGTTGCGATGACGTCATCCACCATCGCCCCCACATACCGCACACAGGATTCGGGGACATCTGCGTGCCTGGTGTTTAAAACACACAACTACGTTAGAAAGAATCACACCTCCACTCACCCCCCCACTGCCCACTATCTGAAGTGAAACAGCCGACAAACTGGCCTCTTCCATTACCCCCCAAAAACACCCATTGTTTCTCTGCGAGGACGCGAGGCGCTAACATTAGCCTGCTTGCTAACGTTAAAAACACCGGGGACAGACATTAGACCGGCTGTGCGGGACATGAAGCGGACGGGGAGGAGACGCAGCTCCGTGTGGGACTGCTTTGAACAAGTGGGTAACTTTGTGCGCTGCATGAAATGTGACGCTAAGCTGAAGTACTGCGGCGGAGCCACGAGCTCCATGATTAACCACATGAGCAGGCACCATCAGTCCCCGACGCCGCTGGACGAGGACGAGAAACCGGTGATTTGTACCGTCCAGTGCATCGAGGAGGAGAGGAGCGTCGGTTCGGACATCATGCAGGTCGCGGTCATGTCCCCGAACATAAGCCTGAGCCTCAACCCCCCTGAGCGTGACTGTGGCGAGAGGAAGCGGCTCAAGCGGAGCTCCGTTTGGGACATTTTCGTCAAAGTGGACAACGAGGTCCACTGCACGATGTGCGACACGAAGCTGAAATACAGGAGCAGCACCACCAGCATGATGTACCACATCAAAAACAAGCATCCGGACACGATGCCTAACGATGGCGTGTCCCTGGCAACACACACAGAGGTGACTGAACTCATCTCCAGAATGATAGAGAAGGACATGCTTCCCATCAGCATGGTCACCGGGGATGGGTTTCGTGAGCTCCTCGCGTACACTGTGCATAACTATAAAATGCCCTCCGCCGGGGATATTATACGCCTCATCGAAGGCCATTTCCACGAGAAGGCGGAGGAGCTCGCGGTGCAGCTGGGTAAGGTGGAGAAAGTGGCTCTCACTGCTGATTTCTGGACGGCCCTCCCTTTTCAGAGGTACATTACGGTTTTCTGTTCATTCATAACAGAGGACTGGCAGGGAAGGTCAGCTGTGCTGCAGACACACAAGGTATCGGACAGTCACACTACTACAGACAGTGTCGCGGAGAAGCTCCTAAAAACCGTGCAGGCCTGGGGCATTGCTGGGAAAGTGACGGCGTGTGTTCACAACCACGCACAGGACGCCCTGTCAGCCCATGCGTGTGCCCATGTCACCTGGGATTACGCCACTTGCTTTGCCACCACGTTGCAGTTTGCGGTGAGCGACGGGCTGTGCGAGGATCTAGTCCGGATCATTGCGGCTGCGGGGAAACTGGTCAAGCACTTCAATCACAGCCTGCTGGCGAGCGAGGCCTTGGAGCAGAAGCAAGTTCAGATGTGCCTGCCACAGCACAAGCTCGTCCAGTCGAGCAAAGCCAGATGGGACACGATCTGCGATATGTTCGAACGGTTACTTGAGCAACGGTGGGCGATTAAAGCGGTCCTCTCCGATCGCACGGTCACCAACAGACAGGAAGCCCAGACGCTTGAGATTGAAGATGACTGCTGGCAGATAATCGAGAATTTCACACCTGTGCTGGCGACGCTCAAATGGGCAACAACAGTCATGTCTGCTGAAACGGAGGTGTCCATTTCAAACATCTACCCAATCACCTTCAGCCTCATTCAAACCCACCTTGTGCCAAAAGAGAATGACGTTGAACAGGTCTCTGAGTTCAAGCTGAAAGTTCAGAAGTCACTTAGAAATCACATGGAGGTAAGCATACACTGACTGCTGACTACTAATGTGTGCTTTGACTGAACGGTGATGATATTCGTGTTTCCTTTCACTGTCTGCAGGTTGACTCCAATGACCTAGCCTCCAAACCGGCTCTGATCGCTTCTATGCTGGACCCTCGTCACAAACATCTCAGCTTCCTGACGCCAACGGGGAGACTGGCTGCAAAGGTGAAACTGCACGAACTGGTCTCAAAATTAGATGTGAGAAACGCCACCGTCTGCCCAAAGGATGAACAGCAGGAGACCTTGATCACACCTGATGTAAGTCAGGTGGCTATGCCCTCACAAATGAAAAGTGACACCAAAAACACTATGATGTTGCTCCTAGGAGACAACTACAGTTCTTCCTATGCCACAGACTCTGAGGCTCAGGTAGATTACTACTTGAGAGACATTGCTCCCTCGTTGGACATAAACCCTCTTGACTGGTGGAGGGTGAACGGACCGAGATTCCCCAAACTGGCCACTCTGGCAAGACACTATTTGTGTGTACCTGGGGTAGCACTGCCCTCTTTACTGTCAGAGGCAGGACAAACATTTGCAACAATGCGCACAAGACTGAGCCCAGAGCATGTTGACATGATGATCTTTGTTAACAGAAATGCATAACTTGCATGACCCTACATGATGGAGATGTACCCTGATTTACCATACTAATAATGAAATAAGGCAAGTTAGGTAGACACTTTGATGAGTCAGGGAGGATGGGGAGATGGCAGGGCTATTAAAAGAGCAGGTACTCTCTCTCTCTCCTAGTGATTTGTCTCACTTGACTGAATGACTCACACTCCTGACTTAATAAATGACGTCAGCTACATCTGAGTAAACATGAGGAGACAATAAATTCTTGCCACTGAACAACAAAAACCACAGGCAAACATCTAGTGGAGGCTGCCAGCAATGTATCAAGCTGTACAGGTATAATGTTTTATACATTATAGTTCCAAACATGCATTTTAAATAGATTTCAAAATAAAGATAAATACTGAATATTTGTATTAGAAATACAGCTAGAAACAAACTGACCAAACTAACCACTATATTATTACCAGTATTAATGTGGTGTCTGTTGTGTCTCTCAGTATGCTATGCCAATAAAATAAAGTACGTACAGCTGTAGCAGGTGTGTGATGATCTGTTTGGGGACCAGTTGTTTTTGGCACATGCTCTCTCCATCCCACAGCACGGCCTCAGTGATGGCACCATCCTGGAAGCGACGCAGCTCGGAGCGAGAACCCCACAGCTGACGGAACTCAGCCGCCTAGCAGGAGAACGCCACCGTTGTTAATAATAATAATAATGAGTCTTTGCACAAGCATGTTTACACATAAACCCTAACCCCAAAGAAAATACGGTTTAAAAAAACAAGTACAAACTCTGTACCATCATGCAACAGATTTGTCTCTTTTGCATGTGATAGGACAAGATTTTTAAAAGTGCATATCCATATCTGCCAGAAAGTCAGTTGTGTCCATAAATGTTACATTTGCTTAGTTTACTACAGTAGTATTACATCATTTAAGATGTCTACAATCCTACTACGTAGTCAAAAATTCTTAAATCCACTATGGATTTGTATCTACTCAATGCTCCCTCTTTGTAGCACTTTTGATATTGCACTTGATATTGTACTAGAGTCAAGTAAAATTACTTGTATCTATCTAACTAACTAACCCTAACCCCAATGGGAAAAACATAAAATAAAACACTACAAACACGCACAGAAAAGAGACAGGTGAGGTTACCTTGGGGCTGTCTGCAGGTGGACCTCTCTCCAGGGCAGAGGCTGCCAGCTCTGGCCTTAGGAGCAAACCAAATGAGAGAGGAGTTTGGGCTTTGTGTTTTGGGGCATCACTCTCCACAGACCACTGTGATGAAACAAAAATGTTAGTAAGTTAAATAAATAAAATGATTTAAAGATTGTACATATGATTTATTTCGGACTTGCTCGGTTAAAATTTCATAAACGTACTTGTTACAAAAGTATTAATGCTGATTCAATCAGGATTTTATTAACAGTAGCTTAGACTAATTATGAAATTAAGCAATGAAAAATCAGTGTGAATGTTGTTCCAGTTGAGTAAGGCAGACATGGATAACTGTAACCCCTGAAAGCCAATCATTCCCACCTCTGGGGCAGGAGAGAGGGAGTGGGTGAGGAGGTGGATCCTTTGGCCCAGTCCTCGCTGAAGCAGTGTCAGAATGAAAGGGAGCGCAGTGTGGACATAATTTCCACTGTGGTCCATCAGCTCACTGAGGAGATTCAGTTTCTTACAGCTGGACTGAAGCTTAACCAGCTCACACAACCTGTGTGTGGGTGGGACATGAAAAGCACAAATCAGAAAAGCTGACAGGATGAGTACGGGTAAGTGTAAAACGAAGCTGCTTATGTAGTACATTTAAGAGAGATTGGGTGTAATTAGTGTTTGTTGCATTCGCTGATAAACAGAGCCATACTGGAATACGTGGTCGCTTGTCCTGATCATGGGTTTGGGGGTCATGAGGAGGCTGTGGAACCCATCCACTGTAGGGTTGTCCCAGAACTGCATCGACACAGATGCCTCATGCTGCAACTGAGAACCAATTTGAAAATGGTCAAAACCTGTTGCTTAATCTCACCAGTGAAAAAACGCATCTTGTTTAAACAAATCTTTTTTTTTTTTTTCTTTTTTTTTACAGTGTTTACCTGTTTGTAGGTACAAGCAGTCATGTCAGCACACATATTGAGATGTCCTGAGGGGTCGACAAACACGACCTGGAAAGCACCGTGGAACTCTGCCAGGGATGGCTGCAGGGAAAAAGAGTAGACAATAATGATTAATTTGGGAGGTAAACAAAAGCGAGAGTAATCTATATGTACACAAGTTTACTGTTTAGAATTCAAGCTAGGCCACTCACAGCTGTAGAGTCAGGATCTCTGGCTAGCGTAATTGCATTCACTGTGAGGTCTGTAGATGCTGAGGGTTAGAATGAGAGGTTGGTAAGTTGCAAGATATTCAAAACAGCA